TAGCTTCCACAACCCAGTTCTAGAGTCACAGAGGCTCCAAGTGCCTTTGTGCCAGCCCTCCAACAAGTTATGCTGCACTGGCAGAGAGACAACTAAGCAAAAGTATGGCAGAGGTCTCAAGTCAAGAATAACACAAGAGAGAAAGACTGGAAACATTTTCTCTTTCACACAATACAAGACCTAGGTCCAAGAATTCTGACAGTAGGTTTAAAAGAAACAAAAGTTCCTGCACCTTCACACAACGTATGAATAAACAGAGTATAATTAATGCATAATTAAATAGCAAAACTCATTGCTGCAGGATGCTGTAGAAACCAAAAGCATGAGCAGATTCATAAAAGGGCGTACAGTTCCTGGTGGACAGGCATGGTAAAAACAGTGGGTGCTAAACACAGCAGTCCAGGGGCAGCTGTCAGCTCACAGCCTTGAAGAGACAATTGATGGAAATCAGAGAAAGCTGACTTGAACCATGCTCTCCTTGTTACACCTGCAAGCATCGGCTACTGGCCTCTGGCCCTGTACTGGTTTCAGATGGAAAAGGGTTAATTTTCTTCCTAGTAGCTGGTACAGCATTGTGTTTTGAATTTACTATAAGAATAATGTGGATAATACACAGATATTTTTAGTTGTTGATCGGTAGTGTTTATACCAAGTTAAGATTTTTCAGCTTCTCATGACCAAGAAGCTGGGAGGGGACACAGCCAGGACAGCTGACCCAAACTGGCCACAGGAATATTCCATACCATATGATGTCATGCCCCATATAAAAACTGGGGGGAGTTGGCCAGGAGTGGCAGATTGCTGTCTGGGGACTGACCAGGTATCAGTCATCAAGCGGTGAGCAACTGCATTGTGCAACACTTCTTTTGTATATTCTAATTCTTTTATTATTATTGTAATTTTATTATTTTTATTATCATTATTATTTTTTTCCTTTTCTGTCCTATTAAACTGTCTTTATCTCAACCCATGAGTTTTACTACTTTTATTTTGATTCTCTCCCCCGTCCTACTGGGCAGGGGGGAGTGAGCAAGCAGCTGCATGGTGCTTAGTTGCTGGGGTTAAACTATGATAGTTATGACAGACACAGAGAGGATCTTGCACAAGCTAACTGTAAGAAAATCTAGCTTCACTGCCCTTCTTCCACCTCCTCCCTCCATCAAAACACTCTCCCCTCCGTGACGTGCTCCCCAACCTGGCGGTGCTGGCACTCCTGCTGCCTGCTGGGTTTCCCATTCCCCGGCTCCCAGCCGTCCTGCAATTGCAGGCACTGTGCCCTCAGCCTAACACAGCACTGGCTCCATCCCCGCAGGGTGAGGATCCATCACGGACCAACCACGCTGCTAACTCAAGCGGGACCTGGAACAATAAACCACAGAGGCTCCCGAAAGAGCAAAGGGCGCATGAATGAGAGCTGATCCTTGTGTTAGAATAAGCACTAATGAATTTATCCAGACTACCTGAGGATACTCTTGGGACAGCAGCTTGGTTGTAGCTTGTTAGCTGTAGCAGCTTTCCTTTTCACATAAATCTGGACTCACAGTCTCCTGCTTTCTGCACATATTTCTCCACTGGTGCCCCTTGCTCCTGACATGAAGCACTCTCTCCTGTTTACATCCTGAGCATCCAGCTCCAGTGAGGTAGCCCAGGTTCTGCACCTTAGTTCTAACCCATGGGGCCTCTGTGGATCGACATGACAAGCACATAAGGAGAACTGGCAGGTGGAATGGTGCCTCTCTATTGAGATGGTTTAGGGGGATATCTGAAATGTTGCAGCATTCAGAGAAACCCTCCTCTGCTTTCTGCTGCCCTCCCACAAGGCTGAGCTAATCAAAGTGAAGAACATGATAAACTCTCTGCCCCAAGTCAGCTTTACACTGGCAGTTCACCAGAGATACAAGATCGCTCAGTGACATTAAAAATGTCAGCAAACACCGATCAGGCTTGACGGAAGGGATGCATTAGCAGACTGGGATAGGGGGGGGATAGGGCAAGGTAAAACTTCAGCAAATGTGGTCAAGTGCACAGGCAGCTTTTCTCCTTTTGTCCTCCACAGGTTTTTTCACAGATCCCAAGACACTGTGGCCACTATTGCAGCAGTCAGGTGTGGAGCTCACCACCACCTCCATGGCCAGATCAATCCAAAAAGGCATCCTGGGGCAACACAAGCATGGCAACTAGTGGGGAGCTGATTCCCATCTTCAGCTTGCCCAAGAGGCAAGTCTTGCATACTCTGAAAGAGGCATGGAGGCACAGGGTGCTTACCTCAATTGCTCCTGCAGCACAGAAGTGACAAGGGAAGAAGTTTACTGGAGAATGAACCCTGGGAAAGACTGTCTCACCACCTCGGAAAGAGGGACTTCTGAGCTCTGGAGCATGCCGTGCTTTGGCAGAGGCAGCACAGACAAGGACCATTTCTTTAGATGATACCGAATGGAGACAAAGAGGAGCTGAAGCCATGTGTGCACGGGCAGAGGGAATCTGGAACATACTTTGTTGCTACCTACACAAAGGTATACAAATGCGTCTGCCTCATGCACACACCTTTCTGTATGTAATCCCACTCTTTTGCATTGCCTTGAATTTGCAGAAGCAATTCCCAAACTCAGTAGGGTCCTCTTGGTATTACTGCTCACAAGCAGAGACCCAAAGGACAGGCATCAGATGCAGGTGGTGCCATCCTGTAGGAAACAGCTCTCTGTCACAAATGTAATTTACACTCACATGAACTGTTTTCTCAACATCTGAAACATCCACATTTGCATTATCCATGACCTACAAATAAGCAGTTTCACATCATCCTCTCCCCAACACCTTCACTTCATGGATCAGGTCAGAGGCAGACTCAGCCTAGGAGGTATTTCTAAGTCAGTAATGTGACAGAGGGAAGGGAAAAGGGGCCACCTGAGCCATGCAGGGAAGAGAAGAGGGGCTAGATACTGGTCCAACCTCACTTGTCTCACAGTGGGAGCTCCCTCAAAAGAGACTGGGGTCCCATTGGGTCACACTGCTTGGCCAAAATTAGTTATCTAGGCTAGAAATCCTCTTGTAAAAACACACAGGTAGTTCCCCTACAAGCACTCCCAGAGAGCAGGGCAGTGAATGGCACAGAAAGATCCTCACCCGGGGGTAACAGCAAGCCCCAGGGGAGGCAGCTCATTAGCCACAGGACAGGAGAGGTCCCTGCTCTCCTCTTCAACCTGGGTCATTTCCCAAAGAGGCACAAGGACCCTGGAACCACCCTGTGTCACAGGGCATCAGATATTAAAGAGTCAGAAAAAGTTTAGATTTTTAAGGGATTAGAGGGATTGAACAAAGATGAACATTTCTCACACATGTCCCCTCCTTGCATGATCTGAAGGACATGGGAGTTTTACTTTCTGAATAATACATCTGCAGAAAGGGAGAAGACACAGGCTCCAACTCACATGCCCCCATCCTACACACTCAGCCTGCGACCCCTCCAGATTGCTGGCAGGGGAGCGCTTTCCTCTGCCTCCACCTCCTCCTGCTTTTAGCCCTGTGCTTGGTACTTTATGGACGCTCACCAGCCCTCCACTTAGTACCAAAGTATTTACTGAAGCCCAATACATGAACGTCCATCTTGAACAGCCACTTGCCTGGATGTCTACATTACGATGAATCCCAGCTCCTAACATGCTAAATCCAGGAGCCTCGAACTATGGGAAAGAGCCATAAATCAGTCATCCTGAGGCCCAGAGGAAGAGCACGACTGGATCAACCTACTTAGCCAACATCATGGAACACAGGGATATTTTTTTTTTTTTAAATATTATTATTCTGCAGCCATCAACCTGCTGGTTATATAGCTGCTATCCATTCACCGGAAGTTTAGTGAACTTCAAATGGCGATCATTAATGGTCACTGAACTGCAGAATGCCCCAGTGTGCTTTCAGATTTCATTTACCAAGGACCAGCAATCAGCCAAAAGATTTGCTCTGACAGCAGGGAAATACAAGACCCTTTGACAAGTTCAGCCGGGAATGTGCTGCCAGCATCCCTTGTTAAGTTCATGTTCTACCCTATTTGACGGAACAGATCATGCAAATTGTCCTTCTGCGGCCGCTCAGCCTGTCACTCATGCTTCCATTTAAAACAATAAATAAATAAAAGAACAAAAGAAAAGCCCAGAAGTACGACGAGCTGTTTACAAGCAAATTCCACTTACTGAGACCCCTAATTACCAGGAAAAGGCGCAGAAACCCAAAGAAAACATTAAATTGGATGGGGGAAGGGAATCTTACTCATCCAAAGGTTTAACTGGGAGGGCCATCCCAGTTTCTCTTGGGCACAGACCCCAGCCTCCCCCCTCCCCTTGCCACTGCTTGTAATCACACTTGTTCTTTTCTTCCCACTTTGATTTGTGGCTTATAGCATCACCACATTTTTCTGTGCAGATGGAGGCACAGCAAGCTGCTCTTTAACCACCCAGAGAAGGCGTGGAGCAACACAAGGCACCAGACAGTAAAGTCCAAAGTATTTGCTTTGCAAAGTGACCACTGGTTTCTCTGGTGGATGTGCTTCTGAGACAGCTCCCCTTCCCCACAGCACAAAGAGAAATACTGATTTTTATTTGGGAATATTTCCACGTTTATCAAGCAGAATTTGATCTGAAGGAAACTGAGTTCCTAGGAGCCTCACATGGCTGCAAAATAAAACAGAGTCAGCAACACTGGGGCAACAAAACCTTAGTTGAAGAGGGGTCTCACAGTGTCCCACTATTATATGGAGACACCGCACTGTGCCTGCCACAATGGGATTCTCCCCAGCTGCAGAACACATCCCATCAAGTACAGTAAGACTCTATTAGAGGAGATACAATAGGGAGCCGGAGGACTCGCTCAGCCCAGCTTCTGAGAAAATAACTCATTTCAATGCAAAACAGCAGCAGTTATTAGACACCTCCTTAAAGAGGAAAGGAGAAGGACAAGGGGAGGGGGGAGGGAGACGGGGACCATGGCAGTTTGCACAAAAGTACCTTTTTCAGATTAATCCACTGTTTGAAGTAATCAGCAACCGGCAGCCCTAAGTACTGGCATTGTCCTGGTAACCTGTAAGAGAGAAGAGAGAGCAGGTTTGATTCAATCAGTGTCCTGACAACACAAACTCTGTTTTCTTAAGTGCATTTTGTTGAGATGGAAGAGACCCTCAAGCCTGCTGTAACATGCTGCACATCAGAAGGACCGTAGCTCTTGGCAAAAAAATCTCATGAGAGCACAGCTTGGCTGAAGACATATACATCCAGCCACATCCAGGCTGCTGACAGCTTTCAGACTGAGTATTTTGAATGGGAGCTGTATGCAAGTGCAGCATGCAGCTCTTCTACCACAGTGCCTAACACACAAACATGACTGGAGCATCCAGGCTGTCCTTAGCTAAGTGAACTCATCACAAATCCCTGCAAAACCATCCTGCTCAGCTAGAGGCTTACAGGGCAGACAGAAGGACCGACAATTCACCTGTCATGCCCTGGTGCTTCTCCATTTGGCCTTAACAGTTAAAACACAGAGACACGAGGGAGGGAAAGAGACGCCAGTGCACTCATTTTTTAGGTAGTAATGCTGCATGACCAACGTTTTAGGGCTAAGCAGGTGCTTGGAAGAAGAGAGCAGTCACAACTCTGAAGATGCAAGGTGCTGCGTACTGTCTCACTAGGGGTTTAAGCATCAGCAACCAAGAGCTGCGAGTATTTAACCTCTCCCTTCCTACAGTGAGCTGCTCACAAAACAAAACAGCACCAGTGAGGGAGGTGGATTGTCTGAAGTGACAGCAAGACTTCAGGATCTGGAAAACTGTTTCTCCCGCACTGTGCCAACCTCAGTGTTTGCAGGGGAGCTACAATGCGCCCCTCAGATGGGGAAGGCTAAGTTGCAAAGCCGTGCAGCTCCAGCTGAGCCTGTGCAGGGAGATGAGTTATGTGAGTTTTCCCCGGCCGGTTTGATCTGATCAAGAGTAATTGATGGATCTTGTTCATTCACGTACTGCTGAGCACGCCTGGGGCACTGGTCACAGGATCTTTAACTGAAGCAAAGGAACATCCCAAATAAATATGTCAACTAAATAAATGACTAAATTAGAGCCGTTTGTGCATGTTAAAAGCCACAACCCCAGAAATCCGCTTTTGCAAATAGAGGGGGGTGGGGAATCTCACAACTTCCTCGGGCACTTGGGGGCTGTCGGAGGAGGTTGCAGAGAAGGAGGGAAGAGCTGCGAGTGCCAGCATCAGCTGCTCAAACATCCCAGCACAGACCATGTCCAGGGCAAAGCCTTCTCCCACTCTCCACAGAGGAAAGAGTGAATAATCCAGACTGGACTTCAGACTCAAGGCTGAAATTCAGGAACAAGCTCTGATCAGATGTGGGTACAAGCTAGGTACATCACCTTGAGCCAGAGTGCATCATCAGCATCCCACACAGTACCTGAGCACTCAGGCCAGCTGCAAACCCTCTGATGAAAGGGCAGCATCTCTTCAGATCTACAAGCAGTTTCCCAAGTAAGGAGGTGAAGAAAAGATACAGATAATGCACTTGCAGATAACACGAGACTCAGCGTAGTTGCATTGCCAGAGTGGTTTGGTCTTGGCGCTGCCTCCCTTTCTATGAGAAGAAAAGGAAGGAAACTGGCAAACATATCCAAGCAAGTCTCCCGGGAATGTATAGCCAATGGAGCCAGAACACACTGGGCCCCACCAGTGTATAGGCTTCGTGACCCCTGCTTAGGCTAAGGAATAGACTCCCTGTGCCAAAACCAAATGCCTGGTCCTGAAAAGATGCACACTGTCATCATTCAGGGACAATAATTTAAGTCATACAAACACATCTGAATAAGGAGATCCAGATGAATCTTTTTGAAAGCAGGAAGTCTGTGAAAAGAACAAGCTTGCAAGCAGCAAGGCTATGGCAAGTTGCAGGCTAAGCAATGTGACTTGACAGTACAGTCTCATCTCTGGGCATGGCTCATCTGATGCTAGAACCATCCTGCTGAAATAAATCACCTGGAGTCACTCCTTGCAATTGCATAGCCATCACAGAAATAGCAGCCTGGTCCATGCATTTTACAGCCATTACACATATATCCATGACACCCCACAGTTGAACAGACCCCACCAGCCCCAACCAGCATGCTAAGAAAGTGCTTTCTCCAGGAAAGCTGCTTTCTAGTAGTACCCAAATCAAAGAAGAAATCACAAGAAAAGGAATCATCTAAAACAAATGACTGATCTAAATACAGATGTGTGAACAGCTCAACTTCTTTTAGACTGTGCACATTTAGCTAGAGATGATGACAGTAGTTAGCAAAAGGTATGTTACTAAAAGCTGAGTTTTCCCTCCCAGCCCAAGAGGTTTCCATTAATACAGGTCTCAGCCTAGCTTCAGTTAGCGAAATAATTATAAATTCACCTAATATTTGGATAGTGCCCAGAAGAAGTGAGTACAGCATTGTTCTTAGCCACAGGAATTGACAGCTAACCACCCAGTGCAATGAATGACATCTAAAACATTCCCATCCCTGTGGGACCAAAAGGCCCAGCAAACTGGACAATCTGGTTCTGCTTCCACCCTGAGACTGATGGCAGTATGCCCTGGGCGCTGGACAGTGGGTCTTTAATTGGAGAAAATAAATGCTCCAAATAAATATGTCAACTAAATAAATGACGCATTTTTGCAAACAAGTAACAACCCCAGAAACTGCCTGTGAAGCTGTGTGACCTAAGGACATTCCCCCTCCCCCTCCACACTTGTGCTCCCCTCCTTTCACATTAGCACCAGAGAGACTTCACCAAGTTTTTCAAGCACTAGGAGACCTAAGCTCATGCTTTAACCTGGGCAGCCTGTCAGCAGCACAGACCAAAGCTCAGCTTCCTGAGCTGGAAGATGCAGGCCTGTTGCTCCAGGCCAGCAGAGATACAGCCACCTGCCTTTAGCAAAGGATTGCCATATGGGTCTGGTCTAGTCTGTGTATGCATTACTCCCAGCACAGAGAACCACAAGCTCTCACAGCACAGAAGCCAAGTCCCCAGGTAGCTACAGGAAGGAAAACACCCCTGCAACATCTTTTCCCCAGCTCCAAGCTCATCATCACTTCTCAGCCTGGTGACCAGGCAGGAGTTTCTCCAGCATCTTCTATAGTTTGGAGTGAACAAGGGACATTTGTCGCTCTCCTGGGAAACAGAAGTGCTAGGGACTCTAAAGAAGTAACTCCATTTATCAGGGCCACCATGCACTTGAAGAGCTCATTTGGTAAACACACTCTTACGTTCAGTATGGTTGTTCTTGCAAGAGTCAACGTTTCTCATTGGAGGCAGCTTTGCTTAAGCAAAGAGCTCAGGATTTGGACCTCTCTCAGGTAAAGGAGGCACATTTCACAACATTCAGCATCCCATGATCCTTGTTTCTGACCAAGGTCTTTCTGCCTCCCCAAACATTGAAGCTCCCTTGGGAAGGAAGCTGACTCTCAAAACCAACCCATCAGCCAAAGGCTGTGGGTTCAGGTATGACTGCACTTGATACAGAGAAACTTGAAAATGTCTGTGGGATTTTCAAGCCCCCAACACATCTCTGATAAAGTCTGTCCTTCCAGCAGCAGAGATGGGAGCATACAACCTCCACTGACTCCCAAATGCAGGTTCCCTTTGGGCAAAGAGCAAGTGACATCAGGCAGCATTCTCTCCTCCACCAGCCAAGCAAGTCCAAGTCCTCTTTGGACTATGGTCAGCAGTAGCAGCTCTGCCGCACTTTCAGAAAGGTTTCACCACCCCAGGCTCTGACTTCCATCCAGCCCTGCTCCTCCACTCTGCTGGGTAAATGGGGCCTGCAGATGAACGGGATGCAAATAGGAGGCGAGGTGACATGGCTGCATTTCTCCTGTTGAAGCTGGCTCTCTCCAAGGCAGCAAGAAGCACACAGCTTGGCGGTGATAAACGGCCTTGCTTTAGTTATCACTTTCCTTAAGTTAAGGAGAGCAGCCTAGTGATGGATGGGCTGGAATTCGGTTATCAGGGAAGGCTGTCAGCCAGAGTTGCCTATCTCCACACACATTTAGCAGGGCGTCATTATGCGATGGCATGGAGTTAAAATATGACCAAGGGTATTGAAAGAAAAAGAACAGGATTAAAAAAAAAAAAAGGCAAATTGAGCAACAATAAAGGAGCATGAGGCAAGAACGTTATCGTACTAGTGACACCTTTTATCTCGGTCTGGTTAGCTAGAGCAGGGCACAAATTGGTCCTTCCTCCACTATTGTATCCTCTTGTACAAACAGAGGCAGATAAAATGTGTCACCAGTGCGATAGCATATCAATTTAACCCTAATTATCTAGGGGGTCAAACTAAGAAATAGGGGTTTCTCATTTCAACAGGTTCCTCCGTCTCTGCTCAGAGCCACCACATTAATATGGAAGGGGGAGGGGCAGCCATAATTGATTTCCGTCACTCAGGTGGTCCTGGCGTATAAAAAATTAATGCTTGATTCTCCCAACTAATCAGAGCTGGTTAATGTCCATCTGCTTCTGGGTTCAGGATGTCAGGAGACAAAGAAATTGGGCCACTTTCTACACACTGGGTGTATTGATATTGAGCCAGTTAAAAGAACAAGTCCCTCTATGGGAAAGATAAAGGGACATTAAATCTTGTTTTTTATAGACCCGGTCTCAGCCTTCCAAAAAATCCATGCCCTGGAGACCTTGTGTTGTAAGAGATGCAGAATATTTTAATTGTGTCCCGGCCAACCCCACTGCACTAGCTGCAAAGGAGAGGGCAGGCAGGCTCCTGCCCTGGGAATCCTTTGCTGAAGGAGGGTTGGAAAGCCTGGAGGAAGCTTGGATGCTGCAGTATACAACAGCAACAAGGTGGCAGCCAAAGAGAGGAGCTGTCAAACCATCTCAAGCCTTGCACCCTAGTTCAAAGCAAGGCTGGTCAAGGTGTTGTTCTGGACCATGAAGCGCAGAGGTGCTGCTCTGTTCTGACGTGGGGTGGGATGTCTGCCATGTCAAGAGGAAGGCTTGGGTGCCCTCTCCTAACAGAGAAAGCTAGAGAGGGAGTAACATCCTGTG